ACGACCTGGTAGTATTTTCTTTTTTTTTTCTCGCTTCACCGCTTGAAGCACCTAGAGTTTCATATTTCTCGTGCTTCGCAACTCTGCATCTTGTGATTTTATCATCGATGAAGGCATCACCTACTGAACAATTCTGTGCTAACAAAGCTTTCTTTAAATCGCTACAGCAACGCGAGTTTGCTTCTAAGGGCTCACGACCAGGCAATGCGCTGAATCAGATCCCTGTCCCTTCTTTTTAGCCCCGGAATCTGTTTACTACTGACGATACAGTGATAGTAGGGCAGGTCAGTTTAGCGATTAAAATGAAGTCTTATCTTGGAGATTCAAAGCCGTTTTTATTTTTCAATCAACAGATGGCGGCGTCCAAAGCAGTACTGTTTGTTTTTGCCCACCATCAAAGACGACCCTGATAAGGGTTTCTGCATGGAGGAAATAGCATGCTATTTTTGCCTTTAGCTCTCAACCCCGACCAGTAGCTATGTGCCGCTTATTGATGATCATCTCGGTCTCTGAATTCTCGGGCTCATTTCTGAACTTTACGAGGAAACCTGCTTTTTTCCTACCGTAACGTGCAAATTGCTTCGACAAGTCCATCTCCATGAAAAGCAGATCACGTCGCACGCTGGGGAATCCTCAGGGGGAGGGGGGGAGGGAAGACGGGGCGTGGAGGGAGGGAGAGGAGGAACGTGTTGTTCAGAAATTCTTGCCGGTCGTTGATCCATCTTGTTTCAACTTCGCTGACCGTTTCTGGGCCTTTGCGCAACGCTACCATGTGGGGGGTGGTGCAAAGCCTTTCGGAGTTGGTAAAAATTTTCACTCGGCTCGTTACTTCCATGCTTACACATAACAAAATATATATCTGATAAGTTAACAAACTAGTATCAGATCTGCTGCAAGCTTTTCCACGCGATCAGACAGCAACCACTTTTGGGGAGAGGATAGAAAAATTTTAATGTATTTCGAAAAAAAAACTGTGGGAATGGGGTGAGGGAGTCAGAAGGAGGGGCGTATTTACTGAAAAATTTCCTCAGCGGTAGGGCGTGCTTTGATGAAAAGTGGTTATCATAAGAAGGTTTTGTGTAATTCATAGGTGTACACATAAGGTTTACCCATTCAGTAGGAGCAATTCGGCTTGGTAGGGGCACAAAATAGTACATTGCTTGTATGGCACCTTACAAAGGACTGCAACCACAAGAGTGGCCCATTCGCACCCATTTCGCCGGCTTCACAGGAGTTTATAGGTTTCGCCAATTTAAGGCCTACGATCTGTAATAACATGAGCTAAGAAAAGGGTACCATAGAAAGGGCGATATGCTTTTCCAAACCAGCGACATGTCTATCCAAACCAATCTGTACCCACTCGGGGGTATTATCTGAATTTAGTGGAAGAGGACAGCATGGTAGGTCCAGAAAGCTTAATTTAGGCAGTTCTCGTAGGCCTCTGCGTAACGCTGAAAGATTGTGCCATCACTAACCGACCGCTCCTCTCCAGCCATCTTTGGGTCTAGCATAGAGTTTTGGTTACAGTCCGTGTTCCGTGTACGTGCACGAGAGCACTGACTCGCTGGTAACGAAAAAACTCGTCCGAGGAAGAGGCGGACCTGTCCTGGAGCTTTTTTCAACCATCAGTTTTGGCCTTCTTCTAACTTCACTTGTTCTATTCTGTAACCGCTTTTTAAGATCCGCTCGCAAAGTTTTGGATTATATCGTCGCAATCAGTCGGAACGTTGTCAGGAGGGATGGAATGAGCCCGCCACCGCAGTGCTATCCCAAATAGTTATCAGTTAGTTATGGATTTGAAAAAAAAACAAGCAGTTAACGGCGCAGTTGGGGTCACTCCAAATAATGACAAACTGCACTCTCACCCCTGTGGGCCCTTGCAATGTGTGGGGAACAGGTCCACAACTGCCTCTTGGTACCTCTACCGACTGATTGCGATCATATCATTTGTGTAATTGTTGTCATAGGTATCTTGTAAAAGTAGTGGCTCCCATAAGTTAGTGGGTAGACCATATACGCATTCAAAAGTCTCTATGGTTCTAAAACGTGGTCGAATTTTCAGCGCACACCAAAATAAGGACGCACACCAAGCACTCTATTTGTAGTACGAGTTTTGTAATAAATACCTCTTGAATCAAATTAGTTACCCTACTTTCTGATGTATAAAGTGGTTAGGCGGAGCTGGCGTAGTGGCAAGTACCCAGAATGTGCGCAGCTCGAAAACCTCGTCTTTGTTTGGCTTTCGCCCAGGCCAGTGGTCAAGGGTTATTCCTCTTTTGAGGGCGCATAGTGGAGCACAGCTTATTCACCAGACTTGATGGTTTCGAAGATCTTCTTCGTCCCGTGGCTCGTTCTCGATGTGCGATGTGCGAAAACTTGATAATCTACGTTGACTCGAAAACACCAGACCGCTTCTTCTCAACGCTGTCACCGACTTCCCGGAAGAATAGAATCGGGCACCTGCCCAACAGATGAGGACTGAGTGGTTGTTACTGATGATTATTATCTTACTTACTGAAAGTTAAGTTCAATGAAGAAATGTGCAGCCTAAATTTCACTGGGGCATGAAAGCAGTCAAGCTTGGAAAGTAAACCGCCCTCGTAGTCCAACCACAGCGCATTCTTTCGGGAGCGTCCAGATCCAAGTCTCCTC